AGCACGGTCAGTACTCGGGCGAGGGCTCCCTCTGCTGGCTTGGCGTTACACCGGTATAACAAATACTATCCAAGTCAACTAACTGATCAACTGTTAAATGGTGCAGTTGATATTATTTCCATTGAAGGTAAAGTTACCCAGGTGAAAAAGACGTAGTATTAAATGTATTAAAAATAAAATATACTCTAACTGTAGTTCATGAAGTATTAAAATGACATTTTAAATGTATTTTAAGAAATACACTTAAATTGCGCTAAATATACTTAAAGTGGTTCCAATTTAACACAATTTCAATATATTAAATATATTACAAATAGATTAAAATCCAACTTAAACATATCTTGAAATACACTTAATATACTTAAAGTTGTTTCAAAATAATACATTTAATATGCACTTAGTATAGTATAATTTAAATATAGTATGTCTGAAAAAGCACAATTTAAATATATTTCTTTTTCACCTGGGTAGGCACATTGCATTGTGGGATGCTGTATATATTTACTCAAAAAAAGTACAGTGAAAAAACAGTAATACCATGCAATATTATTGCAATTTAAAATATATTTTAAAATATAATTTATTGCTGTGATCAAAGTTGTATTTTCAGCATCATTACTCCAGTCTTCAGTGTCACATGATCTTTGAGAAACCATTCTAATATGCTGATTTGCTGCTCAATAAACATTTCTGATTACTGTTGAAAACTGTTTTTACTGCTTCATATTTTTGCGGAAACCGTGATACTTATTTTTTTTATTTTCAGGAGTGACTGATGATTAGAAAGTTAAAAAGAACAGCGTTTAAAAATCAATTAATTTGTTAAAAGTCCATGATGAAGACGAGTGGCTTTAGATCCAGACTGCATTGCATAGATAACACACACACATACACATAACACAATGTCAATAACGAAAGTGTAGATTACGGCGCTGCTTGATCTTAACTTGTCCTATGAAATCTGACCATTGCAGGCTTTGAATGATCCTGATGAGGCCTTGGCTGATGCGGTAGGTGCAGGTCTCATTGAAGGCCGTCTGATTCAAGTGTCGTGTCACATAAATCCTGTCAAACCATTTGTTATTCCAGTCTGAGGCGACCGAAACAACAATGCGATCTATGTTGCTGTTATCTGCATTGCCGTGGTAATACTTAGTAACATAAAGAGGCAGTGCGCCCGGATGGTGCAGGTTGCCCACGTCATAGTACGGTAAGCTTGTATCAGGAAGAAGTCCATCTAAGTTATGGAACGGGTGGAAGCCAAAGTATTTACTTTTTGGGTCGCAGCGTGCAATCATCCTGCCGTCGCCACCTATGTAAACACATTCATCAGCAAACCACCACAGCAGACTGAGACCGTGTCTGGGATACAGCTGACCAAACCCGGAGTCTCTTAGATGGGCCAGTTCATTCAGCGTTTTTACTCACGTCGTTCTGTGTCTAGAAGACAGTAAGAAAATAAAAATAAATGAATGTAATATTGTGAAATATTACTACAATTTTAAAGACCAAAATGTGATTTATTTCTGATGAAAAGCTGAATTTTCAGCATCATTACATCACTAATTTGCTGCTCAAGAAACATTTCTGATTCTCAATGTTGAAAACAGTTGTGCTGCTTTATATTTTTGTGGAAACCATGATACTTTCCCCCCAGGATTTTTAAATAAATAGAAAGTTTAAAAGAACAGCATTTATTTGAAATGGAAATCTTTTGTAACATTATACATGTCTATGTCTGGTGTAGTTTAACAACTACTAAATATATTGTAGAAACATAATTGTATCGTAAAAGGCGCTATACAAATAAACATGAATTGAACTGAATTGAACAACAACAATATCCAGTGTGAAGTGTGAATAGATATAATGACAGTAAAGTCTTGTTACCAAAAGAAGCAATAGAATTTAGACAAATATAAGAAAGGAGTTCATCCTTCACAGCTCTCATGCTCTTATTCTTCATGTCTCTGTTTAGTGGGCACAAAACAAGTCAAACCTCCTTCTGTGTATGGAAACTGAAACTGGAGTTTTATGTATTGTTCTCAAGGAAGAATCAGTGAAATGTTTCTGTGCAACTAAACTACACAAGACTCATGAATGTCAACCTAAAGTTGAGAAAGAAATAACAGGCATTGTTTTAATAGGATACATTACCTGCAAAATGCGGAAATGCATTGCAAGTGTGTCTAGTGAAAAAAGTTAAATAAATTAAGAAACAAACCATTATTAGAGTATTTATTAGTGTCATGCAAATCAACTGTTATACTGAATATTATAAACTGACATCTGCATATGTCACACTTTATATGTCAAGTGAATATTTTATAAATAAAGCTAATCTCGTACATATACACTAAACATTTTGCGTACAAAAGCTGAGCATTTCCACTGCTATTGTTTAGGGCGGAAAAGATACAGTTCATTTAACACACATGAATCCTTTATGAAAACATGCAGGAGCAAAGAGCCTTTATCATGTGCAAGTTCACAGTGAGCAGAGGATAATAGTAACGGAATGTATATTTCAAAGTAATTCAAAGTAAAAAATATGAATCAGAAGTGAGTATATACGTTCATCCAAAGTTTAACAGGTAGTGAGAGAGCAGCTGACTATGTAGGAAACAGAAAGTGAAGCAGACAGACAGCAGTGTGAGTGCATTCAACATAACATGAGCAAACACTCTTCACTAGCCACACGAAGTGAACAAAGGGACTAATTTGAATTGTGTTAGATTTCATTACTCTTTACTTTGCCAGGACAGTAAATTGATGTTCTTCCATGCTTACTGGGCATAAAAATACTGTACATTTTATCAGTAATTTAAGTGCAACATTTATAGACCATAGTATTTACAAATGCACAAAAACAGGAACATTCTCCCATTTTTGTTGCGCTACCTATTAAATATGTGTAACTATTATTAAAAATTTTACCTAGAATGAAAAGTAGCTGGTTTTAAAAACATCAAATGTGTTTATAAGTGTTTATTTTGGCATGTCCCACATCAGAGATCTTGATCTTTATGAAGTCATAATGTCATAATTTAAAATTTGCAGTTATTTAAAGCATTAAAAAGCTCTTCTATATTTCTACTTTTTTATAAAATGGAGTCTGCTTTTTATTTGGACTCCATTTTCTGGTCTCCATTTTTTCTACAGCAGACTTTTCTTTTCTCTACAGCTGATTTAGATTAAATTTCATAATGTTAAATACTTATATTCTTCACATATATTAAAGCATAGTGTACTGTATGTTATTCATATTAAAATTTATTATAAAGAGTTAAGATTTGTATTCATCCCACAAACATAGATAAAGCAGTGGTTTTTAGAGCTTTGATACTATTTCTGTGTTTGAAATATGACGAATAATCACCAATATCACAACAAACTTGAACACAACAATTTCATGGTGACTTATCAAATCTTGAAGTTTTACATTTGGTACCTCTAAATGTTGGTTTATATATATATATATATATATATATATATCATTACAGTGACCATTTAAAAGAAACATGTGATGCTCAACATCGTAAATATATAAAGTCAAGCATTTACATGTATTCAAATTGACAATCCAAAAAATGTGCTGGAAAAATACACAGCAGTTAACTAAACTTTTTTTGCCATTTTTAAAAGA